TCTCACAATCTCGCAGGGCTTTGGCTCTTTGTTTAGTGCTGGCTAGTGAGGATGTCTATCACATTTGAGATATGGTGTCAGACTCCTTCAGTGGAATGAGCTGGCTGTGAGGAGTCCCTGCTCCCACCTGCAAACACCCATGTATTGCTGCAGCTGTTTGCTTGTCCTTAGTTAACCAGGGTAAGATAAGGAGACTGCCTGCAACACATCAAGGTTGCAGGTTGTTTTAGCATGCACTCAAGGCTGAAAGAAAGTGCCCACTCTAACTAATTGAGGCAAATGTGATGAGCTGGTCAATGCTGGCCAGCCACCCTTCCCTTAAAGAGTTAAGAGAATGAAGTAATGTATGGCTAAGTGTGTGCAGGAATCAGACGGTCACACTCGACCCCACTGCACGTCTCTGGGGTGAATGTCAATAACCAAGGGGAGTGAGTTACGGTTAGTTCGCACAGCCTGTCTGATTGAAATGCATTTTAGGAGTGCCCCTCCTGCTGAGAGCGAGCCTGCTTCTAGTGTTCACAACCCGACAACTATAAGCCCACAAGGGGATGCATCCTATTCAACGGCAAGCAAGGTCCCCCTCTCAAAAAGACAAAAGATGATAATAGATCAAATTCTCCCTGTTTTCTGAGCTTTCTTTCCAACAAGACGGTCCTCATCACCAGCAACTGACCCACCCACGGCTCCTTTATTGCTGCGGCAGAGACAACTTATTCTGGTTTGCAACAAACGCTGAATGGAGTTTCTGAGAAAACAAGTTTTCACTGAGTTGTTTTGTTCTCCCACCGAGTTAATTTGCCATAGAAGAGCAGCCACGTAAACAGTTCTGATCTCAGATATGTTTCAGATCAATCAGTGCTGTTGTTTTTCTTCTTGGGACAGACCACAGAACTTTGTAAGCCTTTGTTGTTATTTTTGCAAGTATCAGAGCCTGCATTCTGTGTGTGAACAATGAAAAAAGGAGCTGCAGAAGCTTTTAATGTATATTCTTTGTTCTGCACACAAATGTTAGTGTTCAGATCATCTTGGCACGTGATGTGTGGTGTAGAGGGATAGGCTGCGTACGGTTGGGTTAACCCTCTCTACTCCAGAGGTTTAGCCGAATGAGGTACTCAGCAGTCATTTTAGTATTACCCAAAATCCCATGGATGGTTGTCTGCTGGCTCCTGGTTGGTTACAGGTCATAGTCTGTTGTAAATAAGCAACCAAATTACAGGATTGTGCTGAGCCCTGCCACTGGAGTTTGTGGTATCCCTCTTATTTCATGCTGCCAAGCTGACTGTGCCACTAAGCCAGCGCTGTAGTGAGGTAGCTCCAACTCTAATGAGCTGTGATCCACAGTCTGACTTAGTTTTACTTTCCCTACTCGAGCTGTTTGCTTGTAAAAGTCCTTGAAGGCTTAGTGTGACCCTTGTTTTTGTTATGAACCCAGTAAAAGACATTTCCTGTTCTCACTTTGCAGGCAGAGCGATCTCAACCTCAAGGTGATCTCTGATGTATCCACATGAACGGTGTTTTTTCCTCTTCTCACTCTGCAGAGCTATTTACTCTTGCTCTCATATGGCAGGCTTACACAAATGTTTCAGCTGTACACTGTATGAGTTTGACTCATGCCTGAGGACACACCAGGAATGTTATCTACTCTCGTTTAAAATGCTGGTAGCTGTTGTTGGAGCAGGTGACCGAGTTGAGTTTCTGTGCCGCTGCTCACGTCAAAAAGAGATTTGATCTTGCCCTTGCAGACAGCATCCCTTACACCAGGGACACCAACCCTGATTCCATTTCTGTTAACCAATTCTGCAAAAAACGAGGAGCCAAAGATTCCTAGGGATGAATGAGAGACGGATGGTGGGAAAGAAGCAGAGATGAGCTGTTTATTTACTGACCCAGTGGCCTCAGAGAGAACAGTTGTATAACAAGAGTACCTGTGACATAATCGCATCGCCTTGGAGGGGTGTCCCACTCGTGCTCAGTAGGAATACAGTTTGCGTGCATGATGTAACTCACTTTGCGCCTAACTGGGTCACTGTGTTCGTTAGGAAAAAGCTTCCCCCGTTCCCCCCCTTCGCCCTCTACAACTGACACATTCTGAGAAACTCAAACCACACCCTGGATGTGGACGCTGACAAAAGATGGGATAACCAATTGGTGGGGCCTAGCATCCCGATCGCCACAATGCCCTGCTGTGACAACACTGTAACTAGATGGGAATAGGAGCAGGGCAAGGAGAGTAGCTCGCAGCAGAGATGCTGAGTAATAGCTGCAGTCTCCTGAAATATCTCACAGAGTGCCATCCTCCAAGCTCAGAGGCTAATAACCCCTATACATTTCATTCATGATTAAGCCGTCTGTTCCCTAAATCTCCTCATTGTTACCAGTAAACCAGATTTCTCATTGAAATCCCCATCCTCATGTTATGAAAGAATCACAATTAATTGGGGCATTGCATGTTTTTTTCCGTTATGTAAGTGAACCTTTGAAGGCTGACATTAAAGCAGCAGGATTTTTTATGCATATTCATATTGTTGACCTAAATGCCAAAAGCAGTTTAGGAGGTGAAAATGGGCAGCTTGTGTGTTAATTTATCATTTTCTAAGAAGTCACAGAGCTCTAAATAATTTGATGCGTCTCGGTGAGTTGCTGTTGGATACCTGATGCTTCCACTATGAATGCATTACTGTATCAGGGCAGTAAGACTGGATATCTCAGCCTGCCTCTCTGGTGTCCTGTTAAATATTAATGTAGTTGGATCCGTTACACTGGTTATTGAGCCTTAAGCAGCTAAGCTCTACTTTTTTGTCTATAACTCATTTTGCAATGCCAGGTGACAGCACATGCTGCTTCCCTTGCTAATAAGGCATGAAATCAGACTATCATGAGTCCCTTCAACAAGATGAGTGAAAAGATAAACCGCCTCCTTTTATCCAGGGTTCATTTCAGGATGTGTGCCTAGTGTAAAACAACCAAAGCTCTTCTTTTCTTTTTTATTATAAGTCATGCAGGGCAGATGGTTTCTTTGTGTGTTTACTCTTGCAGCAGAGTGTGAACCGCTTAGATGTTCTGGGAAAAAGGAGACACGGATATGTGTGGTGTGTTTATGCAAATGTCTATATGTCAGTTACAGATTTTACATACACTAAGCACGCAGGAACTGTAGTGGGCAGGGCCGACTTAGTTTGTCTGGAGCTGAGGTGAGGCGTCAGAGGCAGAAACACAGACTGGGCTGTCTAGACTTGCTCTGTCTGTCTGCATGTTTTGTAACCATGCAGTATAGGGGGGAGGGACTGAGACTAGTAGTGCACCAAGTTCTTGTTTTTGAGACTCACTGGCATCAGGTAGCATATGAGTGTTTGATGCTGAACAGCACTGTTTTCATTGATGCCCTGAGGGAAACCACAGAACAAAGAAAGATTTTGGCAGGCCTGTGATTATGTACTCATTTGTCATGCCACCTAAAAACATTCATGCATCTAGGTCTATTCCTTTTCATACCTCAAATCCTTGGTATAGACGTGCGCATGTTGATTAAATGTTGTTATTTTCATGAAATAACCATAACATTCAAAGAGTACGGAGGGCCGCCCTTCGCTATAAGACTGCAAGGTCACGCTGGTAAAATTTGAACGCTGGATGTAACTACTGTCAGGCAGAAACTCACTGAAATGGAACTAAAAGGAATACAATTTATTAGACATATTGGCCAGTCGATGCACAACGCTGCATTTAGGTTCCATGGATGCTGTTTCCACATCAGAATGGAAGGAAACCGCAAGATATATAGTACCATCTGGCTTTGACTAGATTTGTGTCAAAGCCCACTTTTATTGCCTGATGGAAGGGGGAAGGGTGTAATTTCCCATGTGCCGAGTCACAGATAGTTGCATGTTGGAAAATGGGCTGGGTAACCATTGTGAGTGTGATTAGCATCTGGAGCTTAGCTAATTAAACTGTGCCTGCTCCTACAGCACAGCGCCAATTTGTGGGTGATTTACCCCAAGTCCCACGTCTCACTACAGCCTTATTAGTCTCTCTTTAAAAAAATTGATATATTTTGAAGATGTTTTGGGTTGTTTTTATATCTTTCCCTTTACATCAGCCCTAGCAAAAAATCTTGTGATCGTTATTCTTTGATGACTCACTGAATCTACAATGTATTGAAAACAACACAGTCTTGTTCAGCATGCCTGGACAATCTTTATAAGCTGTCCATATCAGGCTTCATGGCTTGTTAACCTGTAAACACCTTACAGTGACTCACTACCATGTGGATCATGGCGAGCATCACGATACGTGTCTTGTGTTTCATAGTTTTTATGTTTCAGTGAAACAGCGACCAACTGTTTTTATGTTTCAGTGAAACATAAAATCAGTTTTACTCACTGACACTATCTTTACTTTAGACTTAAGTGATTCTCATTGTATGCAACATAAAGCACTTAATGGTGTATTATTCATGTTTTGGCTAATTTACTACAAAACACACATCATTTACATTCTTGCCCTGCATCTCCCCAATAATAGTTTGAAAAATGCTTTTTTCAGTTTTGTATCCATTTTCATCAGCAATGGGCTCTCATTCACCAACAGTGGTCAACTCAACCTGCTTGGATTTCAGTTACACCATACAGTTGCATTTTTCAATATGAAGATTTTAAATGGACGCACTGTAATACCACACAATAGTCAGCTCTGGCAAAAATATCAGCAGAAATGATCTTCACTGAATCCCTCCCAGTAGCCCCCTGTTCAGGGTGCACAGGTGCAAGTAGATTTTCCTATTAGACTGACATAATTGGAAAACACTTGCTGTATGGTATGATACAAAAGTGCAGTGTACTAAACTAGGCTATGACATACAAAACATGGGCCATTTTTGGACAATGGCCATCAAAGTAGGCTAAATGATGAAACTAAGGGTCACTGCTCTTACTGTCATGTTACTTTGTTATTGTGATGTTGTAATGTACACTGATGTCTCTCTTTCCCTCTGTGTGTTACAGGAGAACGGCCTTTCCCATGCACCTGGCCAGACTGCAGTAAGAAGTTTGCCCGCTCCGATGAGCTGGCCCGCCACTACCGCACCCACACGGGGGAGAAGAAGTTCGGCTGCCCTCTTTGTGACAAACGCTTCATGCGCAGCGACCACCTCATGAAGCACGCCCGGCGCCACTCAGATTTCCAGCCCGGCATGCTGAAGCGGCCGCACGGAGGCAGCGGCGGCAGCACCACACGTCCCGGCTCCCTCAGTGACTACAGCCGCTCGGACGCCTCCAGCCCCACCCTCAGCCCCACCCTCAGCCCCGCCCTCAGCCCCGCCAACTCGCCTTAAACTGAAACCCAGTCGCACTTTCAGCCTCTGACTTGCAAGGCCTGTGTTTTTGTCGTAACACTTGTCAGCAACCCCCCCCCCTTTGCTATTCCTGCGCTTGCTGTGGTGTACCATACTGTACATAACTGCTTATTGTAGTGCAATTACTTGTGATCCTAAAAGAAGGTAATGCCTTTCCCAGACGGCAATACTTACATTCTGTACCATACGTCTGTATTTTTTTAGCTTCTGATCATGACTAGTTGTCCCATGTATGTTGTCAGTCAGCTAAACAAGGTTAAGAAGGAAAAAAACACAGACACCCTGGCAAGTCTTATCAAAATGGCTTTTTCTTTGTTTTTTTTTAACAAGTGAGGAAAAGGGGTTCACACATACACCTCAGGATTGAAGACAGTTGCTATTTCTGTAGTACCACAGTACTTAACCGTACTCACATTGACTGCACAATATACTCATCACTTTACTCTGAAATTCAACAGGAGTTGAATTTTACGCCCTGCTCAGGGATGGCCTTGTTAGCTTGAAAGAATGAACATGGGGAAGAGAAACATACAGTACATAATATAGCAGCCTTACACTCAACACAATTTGCACTCTTTGTTTTTTTGTTGGTTTTCACATCTCGAGGAAACTAACCCACCGGTCAATCGTACACAGAACTCATGTTTTTGTTTTTGGAGACTTCATATGTAATGTAATTGCTGTGTGTTAACAAAACAATCCCCCGACCTCGACCTCAGTAAACAAAACACATCTGTTCCTCAGATATTCAGTTGCCATTACACTGGGTTAAATATGTATTTCATTATACAGCGGTGTGCAGTGTATACTGTGTAAATCTGCACTGTGGGAGGATACTATTGGGTTAACAGTTTTTATAGGTAATCTCAGTTGAAGAAACTTTAAATAGAGACAGTTAAGTTTCAAAGCAGCTGTTCATGCTTTTAAAAGTGCTGTATCATCAGCCAGTCACACAAAAAGGACACAAAGGGACTTTAGTTGAAACAATGTTTATCCCCTTCTGAAGCACATAGGAAAAAGTACCAAAGACAAGAGTGAATGAAAGCTTTCTATTCAGTCTTGTAAGCCGCCCTTCATTGAGGCCTGGGGCTGGTGGTTGGCAGGATCACAGGTAGAACCAGACAGCCGGCGCACTTCCCTCCTGGCTCAGATTTTTTTGTGGCCTCCCTTGAGGAAACAGCTGCATCCCACAAGAAGCTATTCAAAGCCCGCAGGAGGAGTGCTAACATGCCATTCCTGGCGAGTCGTCCCTCGCCCATCTGGCTCTACCTGTTCTGTCAAAGAAGGCTCCAACTCTGCCAAATTGCGTAAGGTGGGAGGGTCAAATGTAGGCCAGAGTGCTGGGCAGAGCCGGGACATGGAGCACAGAAAGAACAAAGCGGCTATCTGCAATAGACATGCAAGAGAGGGCTGCTCCTGATAAAATAAGTTAGGTTTATCACCAGCTGAGCAGCACAGAGTAGGAGACACCCCCATCTTCCTCCCTCCAAACGGCTGACACATTGAGCAGAAAAATGGGTGTAATTAGCGTGATGATTCGAACTGTAGGATAAGCGTATAGAGACAAGAACAACAGTACTACCTAGTCAGCCCTAGCAGTGTGGGTGGGACACACCCAACTCCATCCTAAGCACAGGGAGAAATCCTCTACTACTGCTACACAATGCCAAGGAAAAAAACTGTTGCTCCAAATTCACACTGATAAACCAGGGCTCTCAAACAGCTGCTTTCAAACTTCTCTCTCGCAAACAAAGGGGGGCTTTTAAACTGTTATACAAACATTTGAACCAAAACGAACATATCAGCAAAGTGCAGTTTCACCAGCCTCGCATGGTCCTCCCTGTGAAGCTCAGATGTCCTGTGAGAAAGCTCACTTGTGTTTCTAGACAGACATGCCTCAATAAGTCAGGCAAAAGGCACAGTAAACCTTCCATGGGGGCGGGCACCACTATCAAAACTGTTGCAGCTCCCGCCGGTCTGGGTTATGCCTACACTTTCTCTTAATGCTTCAGCACTACGACCGGAAATAGTTTCATCGATGTGTTTGGTCCTGTCAGAGCCCTCCAGACTGTTGTCATCATTAATCGCGTGTGCTAGCTTCTTTCTACCAGCGACCCTCACCCTGCAGTCTCGTGCTTCACACTATATGCATGTTAACAACTGCGCCTTGGAAGCGCAGAGGGTTTTTGAGGCGGTCTGGCAGGTGTTAAGTTCATGAATGGCCGTCCTTGTCCCTCATTCTCCACAGCAGCCATCTCTCTTTAAAGTTGTGAAGAATCAGCTCTGTCACATCCTCGTGAAAGAAAACATCCCTTATTTAGATTGAATGCAGTAGTTTCCTAAAAACAACACATGTTGAAAGAAAACCAACCCTCTGTAAAATGTTAAAACAGTTTCCAGACTGTAAGATGACACTTTGAATGCCACTGATCAGCAGCTCTTTGTGAAAGAAGCACTGATAGGGTTTTACATTTACCATTTCTGGGAAAAAAAGCAACTATGATTTTCACAAACAAACTCTTCAGATAGCTGTTGAGCAGCTTTTTGTGGTATCTATCCGTGACTATTTTTTTGCTTTTATGGTATTTTTTTTACTTGGTTACTAATGTAACTTTTTATTGCAAAAAAACCTTTCTGAGTAGCTCCCCCTCAAGCAGGTTTCATGAATCGATTCTCAAACCATAATCTGCACATTTACCTCAGGGTCGACATCCGCAAAGCAGATGATGGGACAGTTTGTGGATTTTGTTGTAACATCAGTTGCTGCACAGAAATGTCTGCCAGCCCCCCCCCCCCCCCCACAGGTGTTCCTGGGTGCTTGGTGCTCACTGCGGGTCAGTGTCCGACCACACTGGAACACAGGAACGCCTCCGAACGGGGCCCAGCTCCTGCCTAAAATGTCTTCATAACATCCTACAGTTTATACTATTATGCGCCTTAGTAAGCACTGGGCACTCTGGAACTCTTTTCAGTGAAACGCCCCTTTAAACACCGTTGACCCTTAGTGTCAGTGGACTTACAGTAGGCAACAGGAAGCTCTACCATCGGAAAATAAACAGACTGTGACAGTGTAAACATCCAAATCCATCCAGACTGCACCAGTGACGTATAAGCCTCCACGGGCAAGAGTGTCTCGTAACTTTTATTCTCACTGTACCAAATCTACTTGAATAATTCAACACAAAAGGCCATTGAACACAGTTTTGTACATGTCCATTTTTACTGTACTTGTTTGTCAAATAATTATTAACCTCCCTGGAAAAAGTTGTATAGTATGTTTGATTTATTTTAGGGCTTTTTTTCTAGATTTTCCATTGTCTTCAGGTCATTTCAGCAACATTTTTGAATATATCACAGCTAAGGTTGACTGTTTTTGTCGGGCTGTTAAAAGGCACCATGTTTTGTTAAAAAAACATAATTATATTCCTTTTTATGGGGTTCACCCCTTTAGTCAGACACACTTTAAACTCTGTTGATGTCAGGATGCAGGTTATTTCCAGCCTGTTATCCAAAAGTTCCTCCAGGTCAGAAACGAAAGGATTGTTTGGAAATGACGATAAGGAAAGGAAACCTCCTGACCTCTATGTTCGAAAATTTAAGTTGGAGTGACGTAATTTCTTTATTATTTAGTTTTTTGAACGTTTTCCATAAGAATAGAGACCACAGCATTGTGAGTTAGCAATGTAGTCATACTTTGTATTATTGCTTTTTTTGTCTCATATGAAATGCTTGTATATTTTTTCAAAAATCATACCTCTTGAAATATTTGACTTTTGTTGTATCTTCATATCTTTTTAAAACATCCATCATGTAGCTTAAGTTTGCTTGATGAGTAGCACAAATAATGGTGGTTTTATTTGACTTGAATGAAGAAGGAAAGAGACTGTTTTCTGTAAAAAAAACTAAAACAAAAAAACACTGGGCTACATTTTATATAATCATCCTCTGTTGTCAGGGTCCTACATTCTTGTAGATTCAAAAGGTAATATTTCAAGGAAATAATAAAACCGTATTTTTTATCAATTTATGTTATAAAAATATTTAAAAAAAACCTTCTCTACTGAAGTCCATTTGTCTACGTTTAAACATGTATGGACATGAGGGATGATGTCAGCTGTAAACTACTATGATCCTCCACTTCAGCATTTCTAAATCCAACTTTACGATTGTAATCCTGGTAATATTACAGCTTTCCACATCTGTCAGAGAAAAAAGGACAAATGGACAAACAATGGCAAAAAATAAATACAAGGTTTCTTCACAATGGTAACTGTGTACCAGTTAATATTCGTTCTGCTAATTGTACAAATATATTAAAGTGATTTGGTTGTTGCCTTCATATATAAAGAACTAACATTAATCTTATTTTTTAAATTCCTATTAATTCCATGAATATATCACGGATCAGACCGTCTCATCTTCATGACTGGTCTCAGCGAACAAGCATGATGGACGCATTGTGTGCCAAAACTATACTGGTAACTTCTTAAAGATACAACAGTGGAGGGTGAAAAAAACCTAGCTACTATCAGACATTTAACAAACTTGTACAGTTTTATAAAGTGTGACATGTTTTTATGTAATGTACAGGATTTAATGAAGCAACTGTGTATATTTAATATGCAAGTGCTCTAAGTTAAATATTTTTTTCTGCTTTATGTAAACATTTTTGATTGTGTAGCTTTGTTTTCATTTGGTTCTTGTTATTTAATTTGTACTTTTTTTTTTTTTCTGTACAATACTCAAGCAATGTATAATGGCTTATTACAGGTATTTTTTTGACATAAACAATCTTAATGAATATTAACGCCCAACCATTCCAAAGGATTGAAAATTGCATTTGCTATACATGTGCTGCTTACATGGACCCGATGCATTTTTGTAGATTATGAATAGAAGTCTGTCTTGACTGTGAGTTTTTACACGTTGTGAGTTGTGCACAAGGTACGTTTCTCATTGTCAACATTTCCCAGGTTTAATCTCTCCTCTCTCCTCTGCGGGCTCTTTGTATAGGTTAAACCAATTGGAAAGAACAACATACATGCAATATTTTAAAGTAAAGAAATGTATGATATTTAAAAGATAAGGACATACAGGGCATGTCTTCCCTCACGACAAAGGCCTGAGGATCTATGAAATGTTTTAAGGGGCAGCCATGAAAGGAGAGAGTGGTTCTCGAGCAGTGAGAAGGAGCTTTGAGTTTTCGCAGCTCATCACAGCTCCACAGTTACAAGTTGTTACCAAATGCTTTGAAGGGAAAGATGAATGTTGCAGTAATTTTGAACCCAACCCACTTCGGACCCCTGGGTTCAACTTTACATGCTGATCAATGGATGTTATGCTTGATATGGACCTTTTTCTACATCTCAAATAAGCAATTTTGTTTTCTTTTTTCTTTTTTTCTGAAAATCACTTGAATGAACAAAACCTGTTCAATCATACGAGCAAAACTAATTGTGACTGAGTAAAAATATGAGAAACAAAAGAGACTGAGTGAGTAGGAACATGCAGAGTAGCAGACCACATCTGTCTGTACCCTTCACTGACCATGTGGTCTTGCTTGACTGCCTGAACTGAAACTGTGCGGCATTTGCTCTTCACTGTAGGAATGCACACTGACAAAAAGGCTTTTCAAGCGTTGGACATATTTGCCCTTAAAGGATTAGTGTGTTCTAGGTCATGCAGTACACAGTGCTGTGAATTACCTCCCTTTAACTAAAGAGAGAGCCTCTCACCAGCCCCTTGGTTCTGTTTCCGTACCTGTTTGTCCTCAGTGTAATGTTGCTCTCTTGATACCTCTGTGTGTTTCCCCTCTGCCCATCACCATCAGTTGCCTGTTGTAGTGACTCTGTGGTGCTGCTTCCCCTTTCAGCACCAGTATAATCTAATCTGTAAATAACTCTCGACTCAGCTATGGCCAGTACATTCTCCGTTGACCTCACTCTAACCTTCAGGTGTCATTTTTTTCTCTCAGCAAACCAAAATCACTACATTCAAGTATTACAGTTGTACAGTTCGGGATTTCTCACACATTCAATGTGCTGGTCTTAGCTGCTCTGCTGTACCTTTTTATGGCATTATTTTTTACATGTTAGACAATATATTGTGACCATGTCCTATGCAAATATGAAAAATAACAGATTGTTGGATAATGTATGTTGTCATAACTTGTATGCATGAAATAGTGAAGTTTACAATTGGAAATAAATTCATAAAATAAGCAGCTACAAGTGTTTTGTTGCTCATTTCCTTTTCGCTTAAAGGTCTACTTGGATTTTAGCCAAACAGCGACCACTTTGGCTGAATCAACACACATTATATTAAGGGGTAAGGATTAGTGCTTAAGACATAGGCTAGTTTTATAAGAAGAGAAGAGTTGTGAAAGCTATTTGTACGGAAAAGAAGCAGGAGATACAACAACTCTGAACTTCAGAGTTGCTGGTAGGCAGATTAGTTATCCCTTGACTCAGCCAGGATTACTGTTTCCCCCTGTTTCCAGTCTTTATGCTAAGCTAAGCAAAGCTAAGCTAACCAGCTTCTAGCTGCAGCGTTAACGTTATTAAACAGGCTTTGTTCTATTCAAAAGTTAACTTTGCAATTGTTTCAATAACTAGGAAAAGCTACTGTTACTATTTTCTTGGGTTGGCTCTTAGTAAAATGCTAAGCTGGTCAGCACTGATAGAGTCTATATTTCTAGGACTTTTATTGTAAAAGGGAGTTTGCAACCTAGAGGTAGACAGAATTGCATTTGAAAGTAATGCGTTTGGAAACCAATCTAAATGCAGATGGTGTCATTATTCTACAGCCAGTTATGTTGTGCAATCAACATATACTGTACTTCATAATCACAAGTTACAGGAACAGTGTTGCTCATTCATGTGGGTAGAAAGAGTGTGTGTTATTTATTTTTTAAGAAGGAAGGTAGTCTTGTGAATGTCAGATTTATATCAATCCAGTTTATGAGAATTACAGCAGAGTAACATAGAAGTGGGTGCAATGATATGTCTCAGTTGTCTCACAGCCTTTCCTCACAAGCGTGCAATGAGCTTCAGTATTTTTCTTGCAACAGGAAGTACACCTTGTTCCCTTATTTCACCCATGCAAATATTTACAGTAACTGCTGGGGTATCAACAATGGGTGGGGCACCAAGTGCTGGGGACTCCTTCCTTCCTTATTGTCTTTCAGGCCAAATAGACAAATCATGTTGCATTTCCTGTATGGGCCCTTGAGAAAAAAAGGATGATTTACTTAAGTGTACTTTTAACTCCATGTGACAAGCCAAAGCAGAGTTTATCACTCCATCTGCATGTGCTGTTCCGCAAAATCACCAGCAGCAAGCCTTAATTTCTCTTAAGCCAAGTATGCCCACCAACACCAGCAGAGATCGCAGGCGTGTCCTGATCTACAATGAATCATCAATGTGGAACGAGACAGGAAGCAAGAGAAAGGACAAAGCCATTCAAATTCTTGATGAGGAGCCTGGTGTTCTCCTTCTCAATCTGCACACCTCCTGTCTCCAGGCAGGTTGGAGAACCCGTACACCACGCTACACACCAGACAAGCTGCCACCCCTGGCACCACCTCACAACGTGGTGTGCCATCACAGCCGGCATGTTCCCAGAGCTTGTTTTTCATATTTGTGTGGCAACATGAGGGACTTCTGCATAGTCCGTTTTCATGTGTTTATATTTAACTCATTTTTTGATTGTCTTGGAGCTGTTGTCAAGGAAGATTGGGCTTTTAAATATAAAAATCCTGTATCTTTCCTCCGCATTGGTAGAGCCTCTTGTCATGCAACAGCAGAGTCTCTGAGTCCCTCTGCAGACCACTGACTGAGCTAATTCACACATATCTCGTCGTATTACAAGAAAGATCTCAGGTTTTGCCAGTTGTGTGGGAGAGGCACATATTCTCTCAGGGGGGCAAGTCTTTCAGTCACGTGTTTATTCTCAGGATGACACATTTTCTCCACTGTAGTGAGTTATTGTGCTGCAGATGCGGGGCAAAGTACAGACAGTTATATGAGCAGTGAGAGCTCATCTTGTATCCCCCTGCATACAGGATGCGGGGGCAGAGGAGGTGGTTTCAGTTTGACTGTTTTATCTCTTCAGTCACACCTTTTCTTTGGATTTTCAACTCCTGTGCAGCCAGGCTCCAGGTGAATTCTGCACGCAGAATAAACTCAAGGATTTACAGTGTGGCAGGAACCTCAACCATGACTTATTTCAAATGCATTATCTGAGGGAGAGTACAGTACATTGTGTGAGAGAGATGGAAGATGAGGATGAGGGGGTAGGTGGGTGGTGTTACCCGCTCCTGATTGGTGCACCCAACCTAAACACACTCTAAGTCTAGAGCGTGGGAGGCTTTGTGGGCTATGCTCCACTGAGGTGTGTGGGCACCGCTGACTTTGAGACTCAGTAGAATTAATCCACAGTAAAAGAGGGAGCTGTGGTCAGCAGCAGCAGTGTTCTTAATCACACAGAGGCCTGTGTGTGTGTGTGTGTGTGTGTGTGTGTGTGTGTGTGTGTGTGTGTGTGTGTGTGTGTGTGTGTGTGTGTGTGTGTGTGTGTGTGTGTGTGTGTGTGTGTGTGTGTGTGTGTGTGTGTGTGTGTACGTCCCTCTTCCTCCAAGCCAAGCCCCAGAAGGCAGGCTGAAGGGCCATGTGATGCCACCCACTCTCGAGGGCAGTGCATGGCAGGGCTGGCGCTAGATCCTGCAGAGCGGGTGGGATGAGCTCAGATATTGGAGGCTGGCACTGGCTGAGAACAAGGCTTAGCTATGGGAGGTGTGTGTGTGTGTGTGTGGGGGGGGGGGGGGTTGGCTTTACCACTCACTGCAGCAGAGGCATCAAACGCACCAACCTGCTTCAATCACAACAGCACTGTAAATAGTGGCAGGCAGCGAGTCTTACAATCTAGTAAACGAGAATGGCGCAAAGAGGGTATAAATATTCAATTGATATACCCATGGATATGCGTAATTGTCCCATGTTTTAATTTCAGCATCTTAATGAGACACCTGCTTACCATATAACTCAATATTTATGAACTATTGTGTTGCATTAAGGCCTCAAATGGGATCCTATTATGTGAGAAAGGAGACAGATGAAAGGGAAATAAAAGGCAATTCAGAATTATTGTATCCTGTATATGTTTTTTGCATGAGTCTTGGTTTAACAAGAGCTAAGTGAATCTGAATTTGACAACATGGAGGCTGTGTTGAAAGAATGAGTCGCTTGCCAAACAACTGCTGTATGCCTAATAGAGCTCTTTGTTGCTTTGAAAAGCAAAGGGAGGTCCTTCATGCAAATTCAAAGGAAATTCTGAGAAAAGGAGATCCAAGAAAGAGGACAATGAACTCCGTCTCATTCAGTTCTTATTATGAAGGATGCAGGATCCAAGAGCTCTGGATACATTGCTGGGAATAAAGGACCCCTCTTGTGGCATTGTGTGACTGACATTAGGCACCACGTGGAGATGTAATTCCTCTGCAATACTTAACAAGTCATTCCATATTATTAGCAGCCGCAGACCTTAAGCATGGGGCACAAGTGGGAGAGTCTTACCCACATTGTTGTCTCTAGCAGCCCAGTCACGAGACTAAACTCTCCGTCAGAAGTAGGCTACTTATCCCACACATTAGGCTACAGGCTGCTGCCCACTAAGCAACTTTCTCCTCATTCTCACTCCACCAACTCAGCAAGCTGCTACTGTGCTGTCGATAACTAAAAAGCAAAGACTAATTTAACTTCATACCTTAATTTGATGTTTTTTCTTTTCATCCTCACAAATCTTTGGGAGCATTATAGTTGAATATAGAGTCTTAACTCTTGCTAACTAACAGTTCTGTGAGGCTGTACTTGGTGCAGCACTGCTTTGAGCTCAATGCTAACATGCTAAAATGTTTACCTTGTTCATCAGCTTATGTTAGCGTGTTTGCATGCTAACATTTGCTAATAACCACAGAACACAGGTCTAGCTGAGGCTGTTGACAAGGGCGTTGATATTCTTGTCCAATACTTTGTTCATAAACCAAAGTACATACAGTATACATATTTTGACCATATATCTCTGTTCAAACTCTCATGGCCAAATATTTAATAGATGAGATATAAGATAAGAACCCGGACCCATTTCTACTTTTGGGGAAATTAAGGGGAACATAATTTAGACTAAATAGACCACCTAGAACACATTTCTGACAAGAACCTGAAATGTGACATATATGTCACATTGGGCTTTAATGGTAAAATAACTCTTATATATAACTTCATTAACGAGGATGATTTTTTGGTTTTAATTAGTTTGAACATTCTTTGAATTGAAGAATAAGAACATATCAACTCAATATAATTGAATCAGCTAAATTAACTCAGCAGATCATAATAATATTTCTAATTGTGCATATATGTCACTTTGGGTTTACTGTGAAAGTTTAGGGTTAAAGTCCCGATGTGACACCAGTGTAGTGTCACAGCAATGTTTGTCTCATTTGTTTCATATCAATTTGATCAAGAAATGTTTTCACAACAGGTTAAATGTAATAAAGGACATGTTATGTAAGCATTTTAATTCTTAAATAAAATGGCTTACCTTTAGCAACAAAAAAAAAGCTTTTGAAATGTAGCTCGTTATGTCACATGTGTTAGTCTGGCACATGGACATCTTGGACATGTTGTTATGGGAACACAAAATCACATGTCCTGGACCATGACCCACCACCAGACTGTTCAGTGTGTGTGTGACTTAGGGACTTCATGAGATAAAAACAAGGCTAAAGCTGTTTAAGGAACTTTCCAGAACATTTAAAGTTCATGTGCCACCCGTGTCACGGTGGGTCCTTATGGGTTAAGTCAGTACCAAAGTGGTGGAGCAACTGATTGACTGTCTGCTGCTAAACAATACAATAGCTACAAAAACAAAAATAAGTTTGACTGGTAAACCCTTTGGAAAATGTTCCCCTCATTTTTTGACTCATTCAAAAAGCAGACAGAAGATTGAGTACTTACTTTCCAGTAATGCTATGTGCTTTAAATAACCATTGAAAGTGTCCTGAAATGAACTCTTAAAGGGACACTGCAATGATTTTACACATAAAGAGAAGTTCATGGGGAGTAGCAGAGATCAACAGGGAGTTTATAGATGTGAAAACCTATTTATACTCTTAATTGAGGAGTTTGAATTGTAGCCATTATGCTATCAACATCCAAGGACAAGGTAGAAATGT